GTACCTGCGTTGCACGCACATTGCTATCTGCAAAACAACAATTTCACCAGCACCACATGGCTGGCTCTAAAGGGGTGCATACTGCAATGTATCAGCCTTGCTTTGTCAAATAAATTAAGAAATTGCAGGCATGTTTCGATAGCGAAAAATCAAACCTTGACAGGAAATAAAGGCATTTCGTCCACATTTTAAAGCTGAAGCAGTTTCTTTAAATGCCAGAGCTGCGGCTAAAATCCATAATACTTTGGCAGAGCATCTGGATTAATTATAAGTGTCGTTAGTACAATTACAATTCGAGATTTTTGCTTTTTAAAGTAACTGGGCTACTCTGCAAGTTCTAGTCATTTCGCCTGGCCGTGTGAATACAAGGCACTTTGACATTCATCATCATGTTCCGGATTCGTATGGTACAGAGGAAAACCAGCATTCTCCCTCAGTGAACTGTCACTGCGGCCTTTCGGGCTGTTAATATTGATGTCAAATCTTAAGATGACAAAACACTAGACACAGTTCAACCATGCAACACAGCAGAAAATTCATAGACTCAGGAAGTCAGAGGAAATGTGCTTTTTCTGGTCTTTTTGATTTAATCAATAAAAAAAAAAACAAGAAATGAAATGTAACTTATCCTGGCTTACTTTTTCTAGCTCCTATTGCCGATATGCCCAGAAGGCCCAAACTTCTGAAAGCCCAGCCCAGGAAGGCGGTGCTGGTGAGTGGGATGTTGTATTGTGTGTTTTAGACATGGCTATAGCTTGCAATGTGGTGGGTGCAGGGTCATCCCGCAAACCTGGTTGTGTGATTTCTTTGTGCTAAAATCGTGATTTGACATCCTTTGATGAAGAAGACGTTTTCTTGTGAATCTATGGTAAATAATTATTCCAATTCTAGGCAAATCTCTCTTTGCAAACTTCGTACATGATTACAATTCTAATTAATTGGGCAGTATTGCAATCTGCTGCAATTGATTTTAGGCATTAACTCGAAGTTCTGCAAATCATATTGATCCATTCATAATTGTAAAGAGTACACAGTCATTCATAACCTATTTTGGTATAACATTTCTGTTGTTTTCCTTCTGAGAGGAATGTTAACAGAAGATATGGTTTTGCAGCTGGTGTCTGTTTTATTTTGTTGTTTTATTTTGTTATCTTTGAATGTCAATTGCTGCCAAGTACAGTGTACACTGATACAGTACATGACATTAAACTGCTTATAAATAAACCAGTCATCACTATTGAAAATATCCACATGCATCTATTAATTTCTGAAATCAGCTTTATTCTTTAAGGTACTTTATTTTATTTTTTCAACATTTACGTAGCGACACTGTTTTTCCTGCAGTAATAGAACTAGTGAACCGATTATCTTCCACACACAAAATAAAGTGGAGACATTTCACAGTACTCTTTCTTCTGCTTTGCCGCCACAGAAAGCTCACCTTTTTATATACCATGTGGAACAAATGGGAGCTAATTAAAAAAAGAAGTTTAATTATTACATTAAAAGTGTTTTTTTAAGGTCCTTGTTTTATTAATCATAGTTGTATGTTTAATCTTTTTGTTATAAATTGTATAATCTTTACATTTTAAAACCTCTGGTGCTTTTGTTCATATTTTCAATTGAATTATTACAAGCAAGAAATATGCATGGGGGAAATTACACTGCGTGCTTTATAGTGCCCTATTGTTTGTAGAAGTTATTGCTGTACCTTCTTCCATTTATGAAAGTACTAATTTTATTTTGTTTTATTGCTTTCCAAAACGCAATTATTTATTTAGCGGGCTTCGTCTTTATTGCATTATATTTACTATAGAAGTATCATAAAAAATATATAAAGAAACATCACTGCAATCCTGCTCCGTGACCCATCTCAAGGAATTCTGTTATTTTCAAAATCTAAACATAATGCGATAACTTCAAAAATAAGGAGACAATACACAACAGATACAATGAAATTTCCAGTTAATGAAATCAAACATCTGCCCAGCATGATTTCATAAAGCCGGGTTGTTGAATTTGTTTGATCAGGAGGCTTGGAGTTTGTCTGCGGACTCACAATTACAACGGGTACCTCTGTATTTTACTTGTCATTAAAGCCTTTGGGTTTTGTGATGACCGTGGCTCTGCTCACACACTGGGGGTGTCTGCTTCACAGCACTTAGTCAGCCTTGTGTTCCTGCATCATCTCAGTGGTTCAGTGACACGCTCTGGGCATTTTGTCGGCTCTCAGCACCAGTTATTATGTCATTATAATCATCAGGGTTTTGATTGTGACACACATCTGCATTTTA